TTAGATGCGTTTTGACAGTGCGCCAGAAACATCACTTGCATAACTGTTAAACTCTAAGGTGCACATTGCTGAACTACTACTTTAGCCGCATAAATGATTAGATAAATGGAGAAGATTGTAGTGGTGTCTTGCAAGCTTTGCACTTCAGCGCATTAACAAAGTTGTAGCTCTCTGCAAATCAGCTTGACTTCGTTTCATTCTTTTGTGTCAGTGTTCATATTCTTGCCTTCAGGGCTTGTTCCTTAACCTTATTCCATTGGTTGGAAGTATTTTTAATCCCCCATACGGTTAATGAGACAGCTTACAATTTTAATTCTAAGAATTCTTCAATGGTCCTTTTGTTGCCTCACTTTTTCTCAGACATTCAACCTATATGAGAGAAAGCATTTATTTTCAATAAGTTGCGGGAAGATTTTGCGGTTGTTTGAGTTACTTACTGAGAACGACAACAAATTAAAACAAATAACAGCATTTTTTGAATGAGTGAACAGGTTTGTTATTCTACATCAAAACAACCGTTCTTCTTTCATACCATATCCAAATAAAAGCGGTAAGTTCATAAAGACTGCTTAGCAATACTTGTTACACATATTGGATGAGTGAACTTTTGATGGGTGATGCGGCTGCAAAAAATTCCCTTTTTAAAACCACAAAATTCACATCCTAAACCTTTGGATGATTGGATTATTTGGCGTGTTGACTTTAAAAGATCTCATCCACTTTGCACGAGCCTTGCTATAGGATCGCGACCGATTGAAAATGAATGCGCCACTCCAAATTTGCAAAGATAGTCTATTAGAAGTAATTCATTTCCTGATTGAAAATTATTTCCACACCTATCATAGGTTTTTGCTGCAGAATTACGGTGGGTGGGTGATAAAGTAGTCAAAGTCAACGATCTACACGAAGAAAAGAATTTCGGAATTTTATAGATTTTCTGTTTGGTGTGTGAAACGACTACCATATCAGATATTTTAGTCGTTATCTACATGCCGAACAACGTTAGCATTTGAAATCTGATCAAATGCAAGTTTTTAAATCCAGAAAAAGGATGTGGCAAACAAGTACAACAGCTTGTAGTGTGATTTCTTATAGAGCATGAAAATTGTGAAGCTTAAATCTAAAGTCTTTATGAAAACCTCACAAACCTATTCAACAGACAATACTACATAGTATTCAAATATACTGAACAATTTACTTGCTTGAATCGGTCAAATTGATTCATAACAATATAGACCACACAAATGAAAAGATCTGAAAAATTGTGCACAATGGCAATGATACCGCAACCTCAACATAACCGCATACAGAAAAACAACAAAAATGTGAATAAATCCGGTACAAGTATTATCACTGGTATAATCCTAATCAGTCTTCTCCTTATCAACATTAGCTAATAAACAAACACCCACAAACACCAAACTCAAACCAAAACACCAAAATATCGAGTGAGATTCCGAAAAGAAAATGTAGCCGAGAACACCCTAAATTAGGTGCGTCAAATTATAGTTAAGACTTCCTAGATTACAGCTGGAAAAAATTCGCTATAACCTACAGTTAAAGCAAAATTTGTTCCTGTATTTACAGCCATACATTGGAGTGTGGAGTCAGCTTGTGCTAGAGATTTCGTATATGCCCACCACATCAAGATATTGCTCACCACAAAAACCAGCAGAGAGAGGACAAACTTCTGAAATTAGGTGAAATTTGAAATGGTGATTTTATAACAATTTAGACCCTGTAGTCCCTCTAACACACCTCATATTGCTTATCAATGGAATACTCCCCAAATGCAAACTTTGACGCTATTGCAGCAATTGCACCTGCTGCACCTGCACTCATGGCATAGATGAATGCATTTCGAGCCATTCAAAATAATTAAAAGTCAAGTTGAGAGCTAGAAACGACTGAAATGAGAGACTTCTAGAGAGATGTTTTAAAGTGGACTTGACAGATTATGCGGAATAAAGCGATTTGTGCGAGCATATGATAAAAGTAGCAGAAAATGTAGAAAGGCCGCAAAACATTCAATTCAATCGAACTTGACCTCGTGCAAAACCAATCATTCACGAGATACAAAGATATGGTGCTGCGCGGATCGACAGAACGAGTATGCTCAACATAATTCTAATGTATACTTCAGGGATTAATGCAAACGGTTGAGTAGAGCCACTTGTTTGGCGTCGTTCATTCTCGAACGGCGCATAATAATGCTATAGGCTTCTATGAGTATGGAATCAGAACACTACTAAGATTCCATCCATAAATGGTGACGGAAGGTATGGCAGAATATCAACATCATTTCAAAATTGTCCATAACTCTAATTAACTTGGAAATACAACCAGTAACGAGCAAGCTGCTGATAACTTAATGTTTATGTTAATAAGAAGCGAGCTTTGCTATATCCTGCAGGTTTGCTCTAGCCAACTGCATAATGAATTGGTATCGATATACGATTAACTTCTACTGGAAGGATACTTAGTTGATACTTAGATGGTCTGTCTTCACTCCACGTGCAGGCCACGCATTGTTTCCATCCATTTGTCTCCCGCTACCCTTATCCATGGTGTTGAATGATGGCGACATCCGTGAGGTCCAGATCCCTTATTCGTTATCAGCTGAGAATTCAGCTGGTCCACTCGTATAACAAACACGTCAGCCCAACTGGTCGATGGCCTCCCTCGACGACGTTTTGCTTCGCTAGGGATCCATTCCAGGATCCTTAGTGTTCGTCGGTATGGCCAGCCTATCCATGTTTTGCTCTAGAGATACGCTGGGTCGTAAAAACGGGACAATGATCTCATATCTGAGCTGCGAACCGACAGAATGAGTGTGTCTTGTATTTTAGAAAACGTCGTCCCAGCGCTCTATGGGCTTTCGGGAATCTTTTAGCTGACCACAGTGTCAGGCCACGTCTCTGCTATGTAACGGAGCGCTGGGAGAAGAGTTAAATAAACAGGTAGGCTCGGAGCTCAGGTTCATCAACTGCTTCCTTTGAATTCCCGGGAACTGCCTAAGCTGCTCTTCGCCTCCTAGGACCGGATTCACCATTGTTTTTTTTTTACCTAGAGTAAATGCGGCCACGCCCCTACCTTAGCGATGTACCGAGATTCACCTTTTTTGTTACCATTACCTTAACCACAAAAAAGGGGGTAAATATGTACCCGTCGCTGAGGCAGGGTTTCGCAGATACCTTACCCCTCACAACTTGGC